AAGAAGATGGAAGCACTGTATTGGGCATTGCTGATAGGAATTGTATTTCAGCAAACTGATTCCTCTCATTGTTCAAGTCTTGGCAACTTCTGAGCAGCTATAAACACCTACTTCAGACTGTGTGTTTAAGTTCAGCAGAGCAGAAGCCTGAGGCTAAAAGAATGCCACTTTCTTCTTTGGAGTTCTGTTCAGGTTTTGCTGAAGAATACTACTACTAGAAGTCATTGCTTTCCATTTGGTGTTTGTATTCCTCAGGAAAATGTCAGCTGTGTGCTATAATAACTGAATGCAAGTACTCTAAAGTTGGGTCTAAGTGGATGTCAAGGCAGTTTGAAGGATATGCACAGTTCAGTGGATGTGTGTGCTGTAGTAGCTGAAGGAATTTTCAACTAAGATATTACACTTTCATGTGCAACTAAAAAAAAAAAAAGGAAGACTTAAAAATCTGAGTCTTTGCAGTGAGGTTTGCTGGGAACTTGTTCTTTGTGTGTGTGTGTGTGTGTGTGTGTGTTAAGGCAGTATTGTGTGTACAGGGTTTCTTCCACTTAAGAAGTCAGCCTCTTTTGGGGCCTGGAGTGGGCAGGTGAAGGCAAGGTGGGGGGTGGGCAGCCTACCTCAGCAGATCAGACTGCTACTGGCAGGAGCTGGTTCTGCTGCTCCTTTCCTCTGCACGCTGTCACTTTTTTTTCGGTGCTTTAGCTCCTGTCAGGCAATGCCAGGAAGCAGTTCTGTTCACTGATGTAGCAGCAGACAAGCAAATAGTTTTCTGCTGAACCGTTAAGTCAGTTTGTTTTGCAATCAGATGAGCATCAGTCAGTACAAGGAGGAGGTGCTGTGGAATTGTGTGCCAGGAGCTGTGGGAGAGAGATGAGTGGGAATTGGGCTCCGCTTATCCATGGCCATGAGCCATGCTCAGCTGTGTCGTGCATCCATATTTGAAGGCTGAACAAATAACTGAGAATCTGACATTTTTCTCATCTGCCAGTATTGTGTTTATAATACAAAAATCTTTCTCTGAGAAATATGACATCCGGAGTATCAGACTGGTGCATACTCTAAAAATAATGTTTCCTGAGTACATCATTGCTGCCAGTATGAAAATAGAGCTCTTAGCAGAATTGCAGTCTTGTGTAGGCAGTAGCTTAAGCCTGTGTGAATTTGAGGGAGGCTCAAAATGACAAACCAGCTTTTCAAGTAAGGCTGTCTTTCATTTTCTGCTTGAAGTGCCTTTAGAGATGTTGGTATGTAATTTTTTCAGTTGTGTTTCATTCTGCTATTATTTAGAGTCCTACCTGAAGTCCTTTCTTGTGACTTTTGTGTCTCAAGGTCTTTTTCCTGTCCATTGGCATTGTTAATCTTGAAGAGAGCGTTCATACATTGTCTCCCAAGGGTGGAGACGGCCATTTTCGTTTCTCTCTCTCCATAGCTCAAGCAGCAGTTCAGGCAGCTCTGTTACTTCCCATCATAGTTGTTCTGGTGGGCTTTTATTACAGCTGTTTGATCTTTCTGTGGCTGTTGCTCTCTTGGTTTTCAGTTATCTTGGAGTTGAAAGTGGCTTCAGTAAAAGATCTGTGGGAGAGAGGTGTTTGGAGATGAGGGGTTGCCAGCAAGTATTTATTTGGCTGGGTATTTTTGTACAATCGTGTTACCTGGGTAAGCGTGTACAGATGAACTTTCAGTACTTGATATGTATAAGAAAAACTCTTGCAATCTGTGAGCAAAAGTAAAACAAATGAACAACGCCAACAAGCAACCAACTAAAAAACTTGCAAAAAAAAATCAAAAAAACCCCCAAACCCTAGCCCAAAAAACTACCTCTCCCCCCCCCCCCCCCCCCCCCCAAAACAAAACAAAACAAAACCAAACAAAACCAAACCCCACAGCCCAGTCTATACTGTGCTTGTACTCCAAGTGAACAGAAAATCTCCCTGATGCTGGAAGGGCAGTTGTGTTGGTTACCAGGTTTAAAAGAAAAGTTCTGTGGTTAGCTGTTTTCTTTCCTTCTGAAAGCTTCATGGAGATGGTATGAAAACAAACCCAGGAAATGATAGATGTTCTTTGTGTCAAAAATGCCTTAATCCCTCTTAAGAAGGTTTAGAGTACTTAAGTAGGTGTAAACCAAGTTAACTAAACTTGTTTTTACATCTGGGTTGACTGCAGACCTTTTTGGATACATTCAGACCAAGTTCTTAAGTTTGGTAGTTTATTAATGTACTGGATTACATTCAAGCTATTCTAATTGTGTATTGTTAAATCAGTGTTTGCTTTTAGTGTGTTTTAAAAGCACCACTGCTGTTAAGACCTTACTTACCTAATTAAGTGCTGTTTTGTAACCTGAAAAGTTTCTATTTTGTCACTCATTCATTGAGCTGCCTCTGAAATGTATTTGGTGATGTGTTCAAAAAGAAAAAAAGTCAACCATGGCACTTTGCAGAAGGCATTGAATTAAATTGGTTGCTACTTGAAAAGGCTTCTCAGGAGATGCAGCCAAAGACAGAGAATGGGACAGAGTGAAGATCGGGTAGTCTTTCTTCTTCTGTCTGTATGCTGTAGAAATTGAAGTTGGCAATTTTTGAGATAGTTTTGTGCAAATACAGGTTCACAAGCTGTACAAATAGCATATATTGCAATTAGTAGTAATTTAAAGTCATCTAATTGCTCATGTTCAGCTAGGACATATAAGTACTAATCTTTGGTCTGAGGGGTTCGTTTAATGACTGTAGATGTATTAAAATATAAGAGAACACATAGCAAGTGGCTTCTTGCTTTAACTTCAGATTATGTTGTGTTTGGTTGCCAGTGATTGTAACCCTGATGAGCATAACTCCCATCCCTTTCCTGGCCTACATCAAGTTCTGGATCTGAGTTGCTGGTCCCTGGAAAGATGTGGGCTCTGCCTGAAAGCAAGAGAAACAGGTTGGCAGGTAGCCCCTGCTATCTCTAGAGCTATCTCTAGCTCTACCTTGCTACTGCATTCAGCACTCAAATTCCATATGTTATATATGCAGATGGCCATACTGTTTGGAAGTGTTGGACTTCAAGTATCCTTCAGTATAGCAATGAATGTTCAGGTTTAGAGTGGTGCAATTTTTTGGATACTGCAGTTTTTTGGATACTCTCTTCTGGTGCGTTGACAATCAGGAGGGAGAATGCCTAATTCTGTAGTCTGTGTTCTGAGGTTTGGGTTGAGATTTTATGGTCTGTAATATGGAACTGTTCTTTTGTCATAAGCCACCGAGTTATTTTTATTTTCCTCACATGAAACTAGTGCCATAATGACACCAGTCCAGTACCATAATGTGGGTGGCAGTTGATTTTTGTCAGGTGATGATGTTTCCCTCAGGTACCTTGGCATCCTTGATGAGTTATTGCTTACTCCTGTAAGGATTAGGTAGCTGCTTGCACGTGTATCTTTCCTTCCTGGTCTTCCCATGCTAAAAGATTTTAGAAGTGCTGTGGCAGAAAATGTTAACAAAGAAATAGTGACTTGTATCTACCAGATGAAGCAGTACTATTACAAAGGTCTGTGCTGTTTTTACATTAAGTTTAGCCTAATGGAAGGACAGATTTTCATGAGGATCCTGTGCCTTCTGACAATTGAATGTGGTTAGCTAAAAATGAGATTGTGCTCGTAGTTTGCTACATTAAATCAGATTTAGATGGGAGTCTTTGTAGCTCTTAACTGTGTGGATTAAGTTAAGAAATCCCGGAGCCCACTTCCTTGTTTAGGCTAAGTAAGCAGCAAGTGACCTCAGGGCACTTCTTCCCACTACAAGATGAGAAAATAGAAGATAGGGAGATAACGAGCTTGCTGCCTGCGCTTCAGAAGTCCCGGAGGCATTTGTAACTGCTGTTGCAAACCTCAAGAAACTCAGAGGCAAGTGGCTTAATTGCTGCTGCTTCTTTCCAATATCTGCATAAATTCCAGTTCCAAACCTTTTAATTACCAGCAAGAATGTGTGATTCTATTCACCAGAAGTTGTGATCTTTTTACTTCTGTAAGGACTGCTTTGTGAATTACTTGAACTGAGGATTGCAAAATTAAATTAGTCTGCTGAAACACAGCAGTAGAGGCTGCCTTGAAAATTAGTATGCTACCAAACATTTGTAAATTTGAGGTTACTTAGAAATTGTGCATTTCATTGCAAGATTTCTCTAAACTTCTGTGTCTGAACATGCTTATTTGGAGTCGCTGATTGTGAGTGTGACGTGGTTAGTAATTTGATTCTATGAAATCATGATATGAGATTGTATCAACTGCTTTGTTAGACTGCCCTGAAGTCTAGAAGTCTTTGGCTTATCTCATTTATTCCAGCCCTTGGCACCTCTCCCCCAAGCACTGGAAGAACAATGCTTACAGAGGAGGCATTTATCTTCAATATTGCTTGAACACAGTGTCTACTAATGACTACTTACATGCACAGATGTGCCCTTACATCTTATTTTCAATTTAGCTTGCATATTATGTAAGGTTATGAGGTCTCTTTTTAAAAACAAAACAAAAAAGCGTATGGTCAGGTTTTTGGTGTTTCCACATGTATTTCAACAACGTTCTATTTTGTTTCTGGAAGAATGCCATGTAAAGCCATCTGACAAGGTAGGTCATAGCAACATTTGTAAGCAGCTTGCTGATGGTTGATATTCATTGACTGTAAATGTCTTGTTTGGCAACGTTTATGGACAGCTGTTGTGTAATTGATCTGAACTTTCTGGTGTAGAAGTTGATGAAGAGCACTTAGACAGTGTGGCTGTGGTCTGTGACCAGTTACGAGAGTAGCCCTGGAAATCTTTTTTCTTTTTTGCTGTAAGTTGTTTTTGTTCTCCTTTATGTTAATCAACAGTTGTAGCCTGATCCTTGTGCCTGTCCCTAATAGTCATTTTCATTAAGATACACATTTTGGGATGTGTGCCTTGTTGAATGCTTTGATAACTTAATCCTGATCTCTGGATAAGTGTTCTCTATCTGAATGTGCTTACAAAGTCTTTTTTTCTTTTGACAGCTGGGAAGGAGAAACCAAAAATGAACGCAGAAGAGCTACAGATAAAAAAGGTTAAGAAGAAAAAGAAAAAGAAACATAAAGAGAATGAGAAGAGGAAGCGTCCAAAAATGTACAGCAAATCCATTCAGACTATCTGCTCAGGACTGGTTTCTGATGTTGAGGATCAGGAAGCCAAAGGCATCATAGATGATCATCTTAAGGATTTCAATGGGAAAAATATGGATCCCAAGAAGGACTGTGAGTCCAAGATACCAGAGAACAGTGAGTTTCCATTTGTCTCGTTAAAGGAGCCACGGGTTCAAAATAAACTCAAAAGGTTGGACACATTGGAGTTCAAACAGCTGATTCATATTGAGCACCAGCCTAACGGAGGTGCATCAGTTATCCATGCCTACAGTAATGAACTCTCCCACTTATCTCCTGTGGAGATGGAGAGATTTGCAGAAGAGTTTGTGGGTCTGGTTTTTAGTGAAAATGAAAACTGTGCAGCTTACTATGTAATGGGTATTGTTCATGGGGCAGCTACATATTTACCTGACTTTTTAGACTACTTTTCATTTAATTTTCCCAATTCACCAGTGAAAATGGAGATTTTGGGAAAGAAAGATATAGAGACAACGACTATGTCAAATTTTCATGCTCAGGTAAGAGGTTATATATTTTACTTTCTAAAGTCATGTAATGGTTTCAAACAACTGTGAAATGGATTTTCTTAGAATACAGTCACCATTTAGCTGTGCTGAGTGGATGAAACAAGACTGGAAGCAAGGTTGTTCTTTGTTAGTTCTGCAGTGCTAAGGAGCTTATTAACTGAGGAAAAGTTGCATTTTGTGTGGGAGGGGAAATGTTTGCATGCACGTGGTCATAGGTTTCTTTGGATTTGTCACTGTCTGAAGCCTGAGTTTCTGAGGGCTAAAATGACTTAGCTGCAGCTCTCTGGGCATCTAAACTGTAGCTTTTCTATATGAGCTTCTTCATAAAAACTGAAGTACTTTAATACATCAGAAAAACGTTACACATAAAACCTTTGTAGGGAACAGTTAAGGAACTTCATATGTAGTTTGAGACTTCTAAATCTGTTCATAAAGGAGAACTTGACAGTGGTTCATAGAGCTATTAATTTGATCCTTCCTGGTTGCGTTTGCCCTCAGTTAGTTGTATTCCCTTGAAAGCAGTTAAGCTGTGCGGCAAAATGGCAGGCATCTTCTGAATCAATTTCTTTCTGTTTTCATTTTCAGGGAGAGATGACTGTATAGTCTCATAGCAGTCACTACAGGTTAAACACCACCTTGCTATTTATAAACTTGCTGTAAATGATATGAATAGTCTGTATGCAACAGTAATGTATTTCAGGTCCTGTAAGTTTAGGAAAAGTGCTTTCCTAGATTGCAACCTTGGTAATGACAGTATTGTGTAAAGCTGTTAGAGATAACCTGATACTATTATGAGGACACTTAGTCCAATTTTTCTGTCTGTATTGACTTTAGTTCACAGTTAACTGTTTAAGTTGCTTAGAAATAGATTCCTATTTGTGAATATTAAATGTTATTTGGGACACCTATTAACTATGTTAGCCTTATTTAGACTGTTATGAGGAGTTCAAATGTGAGTCACGCTGTTTGATTTAAAAAGATACGCTTTTGTTTCTACTACATAAATATTTGTGTGGAGCACTGCTGAAAAAAGTCATGCAGGTCACCTGCAAGTGTGTATAGAACTGAATTGTTGCTGCAAGGGAATGCTTGCAGCCCTGGTTTAAAGAAAAGAAACAAACGAAAAACCCATCCACTGCCACACAATGTGAATGTTCTGTAAATCCACTAAAATGTTCTGAGTTTCACCAACAATGCAATGATTCTGTGTACACGATACCTTATGGGAGCTCCCCAGAGCTGTTCTGTCTGATGCCATTTCACATGAGGAAGCTGGATCTGTGTATGTATTCTCTTGGGCAGCATTAATGGAAACATAACTGTGTGCTAATATCCATCTTAAAGACATACTTAAGAAATGCCTGGACTTGATTTCTGTGAATTGCAATGGAACTGTTACTGGTTAATTTGATGTGACAACAGTAATATCCAATATCCGCAGCTGAATCACTTCTGTGGTCACTGCTTTTGAGATCGTTTCCCTACTCTACTGTAAGTGAAGGAAGAACAGAAAACGTAGTAGATGAAAGAAGCTGAACTTTACATTGCAGCGTTTAAATCATTCATTGACTTTGTAGTCATCAAATCTACATTTCACTTGTCTAGAGTCTTAGTTCTGCTGTCTTCCTTTTGTTTTCTCTATTTTTCAGCAAGCTTTTGTAGCTTTTTATCACTTGTCAGGATTTGGTTGCGTGACAGACTGCTGGGCTCCTATTACAGTTTTGCTCGCATAAGAGGTGCCATGTGTATAAATGATGTGTATACGTGTACGCCAGACTTCTTCATGTGGTCTTTTACACAGCATTACTCGTATCTGGAATACAGTGGTCAATACCTTGGTTGACTAGCTATTGATTCTATTTTTCCTTACTGCTGTTATTTTAAAATCTTCTTCTGTCTGCATACGTTCTCCATGTTACCAGGTGACTTGCTGCAGCTTAGGTTTCCTAGCTCAGTGTTTCCTTTTCTGACTGGAGCCAGTATCAAAGGTTTTTGGGAAGGAGTTTGAGGGCATAGCAGTTATAGTGGTACTGTGCCACAGGGCTCACCTTCCACAGGTGTCAGAGGGCCTTTTCAGATCTGAGGGCTGTGAGTTGTGGTTTTTGACCTCTAGCTGTACTTCTGTTGCATGAATCTCACTTGTTAGTGTCCACCTCTTTTTTTCTTTTTGGTTTTCTGTGTCTTAATTTAAAAAAAAGTACTGAATGATTACATAACCTGTTACTTTTTTGGGTGCAGTTCGACACTATTTTCCCTTTGTGCTGAATTTTTTGTTGAACTTGAAGAGGTTGTTGTTGTTCTGTATTGCCTTGAAATTTTAAATGTAGTTTCTCTTCCTGCATTGCAAAAGCTCTGTACTCGTGTGTTATGCGGTGCTCTGAGCTGCTTGTGCAAAGGTGAGTGCGTTTCTGATGCCCAGGTAGGAGCTCAGTGTGTCTGGTTTGCTTTGAATATCTGTCTTAACCTTCTTTAGTATTAAAAGTGTTCAGTATTAAACTCATCTGTTGCACTGTTTAAACTAAAACACTGAAATGAGGCCAACATCAGTAGGTGAAGTTCTTTGGTTGTTTTTGAGACCTCTTTGTGATGTGTGTAACCATTCTGACAAACCTGACATTTATTTAGCAAATATATTTCGTACCACCAAAGTGGTATGAAAAGAATGGTCCAGAGAAGGAGGAATGAGTTAAGCCTGGAGCAGAAGTATTGGAGTGTTGTATCGGAGGTGACTTTAATTTTTTCTTCCTCTGCTGGATTCTTTCAGTACCACTCAGTGAGCTTCAACCCTGTTTTATCAATTCCTTTTTCCCCTGTGTCAGATAGAAGTGATGTATTTTCTCTTGTTGGGAGATGAGAAATGGGGTGAAGCTTGTGAGACAGCTGCAGTAGGTTTGAGTTGGGATTGGTTCTGTTTCATCAGAGTGAGCTGTTAAATTTTGGAGAGAAAGAAACTGGAGAGTTGTACGTCACCCATCTCAGGTCTGTACTTAAGCACTGCTAAGTAAATTTTTTTTGTTGTTAATATAACAGTTCTTTTGTGAATCATTTCTTGATTGAGGCTTGATGACTATAACTAGACAAAATGGAATTAGCTTGGATGTCCATCCCTGGATTCCTTCATCCCTGTAGACTGATAGCTGCATCGTTTACCTGATAGCTTTGAATCTTGTCAAGTTCTTAGGAGCATTATTAAGAATGCTCCTGAACGATCAGCTTTTGCCACCTGCTTGGAGCTCATGTCACTTGAGATCAGCTTGTTAGTGCTGTCGAGGCACATTGCTTAACATTTTGAAGCTGTGATTGTGTCCTTGTGCTGGGCAGGTGCAGACTTTGTATCCTGCTAGAATCTCAGAGCTCAGGCTTCATGTTCAATTGTAGCAGTGCTTACTGGGTTGATTTTTTTTTTTTTTTTTTTTTTCTCCCCGCTCTTCAGCCTGGTTGGAGAAAAAGCATAATTTGTGCGGGTAGAAGAAACCCTGAGCAATACAAAACAGTTTCTGTGCTTCAAGGCAAGGCTTGACTGTGTTTGAAGCCTTATCTGACACGTCCTTATCTGATGTGCTTGCTGAGATCTCCAGGTGATTCCACACTTCCCAAGGGAATCTGGTGAACAATCTTCTTTTCTTGTTTGTCCTCTTACCTTAATCCTCTCTCTATTGCTTTTATTCTTATCAGTAGCAGACAAGACAAGCACCACATGCCTCTCTTTTAGTGTTTTCCAAGTTTGACACCTTATATCCTTAACTGATACATGCTTCCTGAGCCCTCTTTACGCTGCTCTCTGCAGTCAATCCTTCTTGTTGATGTTGAATTTAAAAAGAAGACCAGTGTCTGGTATGTTGCTATTGTAAAGGAGTATGAGAGGATTGCTTCAGGTGGCTCATAAATGATTGCTCTTGGTTGCTTACTCCTGCCTTTCAGAGCAATTTATGATCTGTTGTAGCAGCAGCTCTTGCAAAGTGAGTCAATTCTCTTTTCATTTTTATGTGCAATCAATTATGTGTAGATACAGCTGAGTATAGTTTTTGCTTTCATGCAACTTGAATTACATCCTGTGCATTTAGAGCCCTTTCGGAGATGTTGTTTTGAACCTTTCCTGTAGCAGGCTTGGAGCTTTGTGTTACCTGCAGCTTTGGTAAGCACATGCTATTCAAAGGAAAGATCCTTGGTGAGTATCACAGTGCAGGGCCTTTCATATTGATATTGTTGTGATGAAATGGTTCCACTGTTTGCAGTTGCTAGATTCTATTTCTGTCCTTTGAGAATGCCTATACTATCATTGAAGGAAAGGTTTGTTTGTTTTTGTTTGGCTTCATTGTTCTTTGGCTTATCCATACTTTCAGTTTTTGCCATTTTATTTTTTAGGCTGAAACACTTAGCTTATTTCCCCCCTGCCCCCAGGTGCTTCTAGGATAAGTGTTTTTGTCCTGCTTCTCTCACCACCTGTTTGTATAAGGTTGTGTGTTTATCTTACACCTTGAAGAATGTGTTTTGACTTCTCACTGAATTGCTGCAGCTTGCTTTCTGCGTTGGCTACCTGCTTTGTTACTGTAGGGGAGGTGAGGATGATCATCCTGAAGCCCATCTGATTTGGGACAAGCACTGTATGTTTTGCACCATTTGAAGTGTGGTTGTATAAGTTGTCAGAGCTTGCCTAGTACCTCTTGCTGCTAAAAGAGGATGTGCTTGTTCTTGCTTCCAGCTGTGTGTCCTTGTGCCAAGCTGTGGCGTTTCTCAGAGCTCATGGTGAGCCAATTTGGTTTGTTAATCCAGCTGAAAATTTTGTCTGCTCCCATATGATTGGTTTTAGTTCATGGTACCAGAGGGACAAGTGCAGGACTACACAGTCAATCCCATTCTGTGACAGCAAGCGATTTACTGCTTCAGAGATGGAACTTGACCCCTTGCACCTTCGGAAGTCTCATATTCCTGTGTTAATTGGAGTAGATGTGGGGTATTTGGGTCGTGTAAAGAACAGTAAGTGTGCAAGAGGAAGGAATGCAATGGTGATGACGCTGATGTTCATGTAGTCACTTCTCAGGTCAGTGGTCATCCTTTCTTTCTGACAGTTCTGGGAATCTTTATCTTTTATTTTTCTTTCCCATCCTCCTCTTTCAGCAGGTTTATCTTTGGAGAGATTTTCCTGATGTTCACTCTTTCTGATTTGTCAAATCCTGCTTGCTTGAACATACTTTTTGTCTGTTCTCCTACTTGAGGGGACTTGCTGAAAACATTTTTTTTTTTCCACAAAAATCTGAAGTGTTTGCATGCTATTTTGTTTTCTTATCACTAAAGATTTGTCTGTTTTCATATATTGTGTTGTTTGCCTTGATTCAGTGGTCAGAGGAATTCTTTATATTATACGTTATATGCATCGCATCAGTTGTTTCAGCTTTCACTTTAGGTAGAATTCACCTTGCTTTTAAGCTTTCTGAATGTTTGTTTGGTTGAAGCTGTAAAGGTTATGAGTAGATGCTTGCTGTTACACAAGTTTCCCCATAATAAGGTATTTTTTCGTCTTAGATGATGACAAAATAGAATTTTTAGCTTGTTAAAACACATTGTACCATTGTGTGTTTATCTCATAATGTGTAGGATTCTGCAAGAGACTTTTTTGATGGATGGTGGCAGCTTACTGTCTTCAAAGCAGAACTGTTCTTGTTTATTAAATGGTGTTGAACAGAGAATCAGTTCACATGGAATGACATCAGAAGCCTGCGTTATTTGTTTTGCATGTATAAGTTTGTAAAAGTTTGCTTGTGAACAGTGTTACCAACAGATACCAAATGAGTTGTATGTTGCTTGTTCTCATTGGGGTATTTTGTATTGAGGGAAAAACAAACTAAACAAAACTGTCAAGGTATGCATTGGAAACATGGAGAGAATCTGAGACTGAATGTTGTCAAAGCTCTTCTTGAGTTAGAGTTGTGTAATAGCTACTTTGGCTTGGCAAGATTGTTTTATGTGAAGGTTGGAATTCTTTGTCAACTATTGCACTGGTTTTTGTGTCAGTGGAATACAGAATATTAGGTTATCTTGCTTCTAAATAGTTGGATTATCTGTCCTTTGTTGTTTGAGGATTTCAGCTGTGATGTGAATGAAGTATGTGAAGTGATAGTATTGACTGCAGTCATAAAAGGACACTGGTGGAACTGTACTGTGATAAAAATGCTGGGATGTGTCTCCTGAAACTTCTGTTCAGAAAGAGGCATACCGTGTGTGCGGTGTGAGGACGAGGATGATCATCTCTGTCTGTGGCACAGCTAAAGGAGGAGGTTGAAGGATTAGGGAGCATGATGGAGTGAGACAGAGATAATGAGTGGAGCTGCTTCCTGCTATTCCTGAAAGAAAAGCACTGGGGGATGCTCTGCAAGTAGTGGTGGATTTCCTACTCTCTTGTCATCGGACAGGAGCAGGGGACTTAAGAGATGGGGAGGAGTGGAAACGGGTCTCTGCTTGGGGTGGCAGGGAAGCCCTCTCCCTGCCTGGCTTGCCTTCCCAGGTGCCCTTACACAGTAGGTCTGAGGCTGTGCAATGTGAAGGACAGCTCAGTGAGGATGTTGAAGAAGATCCATCCAGAGAGTTGTCTGGGACTTGTCAGCAGGACTGCCAGTGCCTGGAACGAAAGAAGGGTGGTTGTCATACATGGCTCCCTCTGAAGGGAACGGAGCTCCAAATAAGCTAACCAGACCCACAGGGAAAGTCTGGGTCTGGGTCAGGGACATTGCTAGGAAGCTCCCTGGTCTGGCATGGCCCTCTGGTTATTACCCATTTCTGGTAGTTGGCAGAAGTGAAGTCATGTGGAGAAGCCTGAGGGCTCTTAACAGGGTCCTTAGAGCTGAGACTCTAGTGGAAAAAAGAGTGTTTACCATATTTGGAAGGAAGGCTAGCCAACTCAGGAAGAGTACAAAGATGTTGCTAGGGTATGCAGAAGGGATATTAGAAAAACAGTCATAAAATGAATTATAGAATCATAGAATGGCCTGGGTTGAAAAGGACCTCGAAGTTCATATAATTTCAACCCCCTGCTGTGTGCAGGGTCACCAACCAGCAGACCAGGCTGCCCAGAGCCATGTCCAGCCTGGCCTTGAATGCCTCCAGGGATGGGGCATCCACAACCTCCTTGGGCAACCTGTTCCAGAAGTTCAACAAAGACTTATCTGGCTACCACTGTTAAAGATAATTGAAAATGTTTTTACAAGTACATTAGCAACAGGAAGAGGACCAAGGAGAATCTCCATCATTTGTCGGCTGTAACAAGGGACATTACCACTAAGGCTGAGGTTCTCAATGCCTTCTTTAATAGTTAGACCAGTTATCTTCAGAGTACTCAGCCCATGCCCTTACTCTAGAGTTCAGGATGCTATAGTCCTGCACTTTGGCTAAATGGTCTTCAAAGGTCTTTGAACTTTTCTGTTCTAATCCAGTCATGGGAAAGAGATGAGATAGCAGATTCTCAAGAGCAGCTGAAAGTCTTTGTGTGCTTGCTTGCAGCTCTGAACCACGGAGCATGTGTGCTGCTGCAGGAAGATGTGGAAGAGAGTGAAGAGCTAGAGCTACTTCAGAAGACAGTGCTTACTGCCAGCTTCTGTCTCCAGTGGCAGAATTTGTGTTCTTTCTGGCCAGGCATTCATTGTTATGGCCTACCTCTTAAATCTCTTTCTTAAGATAAAAATAAATAGAATTCAAGGATGTTAATGCAAGTGCCAGCTCAGTGTCCTGACCTAGAGTGGCAGAATGCTAAGCTACTTATACCAGTGGAAGACCCATCCACTTGCATGTTAGGTTTATCAGTAAACTGTGATTGATTCATTTATGGTTGTCTGTACTTTCAGGAAGTGTTGTTTGGGTGCTGCAGAATGGATCTGTCCAGTAAGCCATGAATGAAAAGCGTGTATGCCTTACCTATCCAAGTGCCTTCATCCCGTGAGTCCTGCCACTTAGTGTCAGTGCAGACAGCTGAGGACTGACTGATGGAGATTCAACAGAAATGAGAATTTGCTATTGTTTTGTAACAAAATCAGCTGTGTCAGTGCAAGAGAGCTGCAGGAATGTATAGTTAAGGATTTGGGGAATAGGGGAATGCTGCTCTTCTCAATACAGCTGTCATGGTTTGCCGTCACATTAACTCAGACATTCTGTAGAGTCGTACTGTTTGTCAGTCCTCTGTGGCCTGGGTGTGTGTGACGTAGTTGATTGGAAGAGGGTTTGGCTCTCGGTTTCTGAAAGGCATCTTGTTACATCAGTGTAGCTTCTAAGGAGGACACAATATTGTTCTGCGTTGTATGCTTAATCTTTTCTGGAGTTGCTGCTAATTATCCTCTGCCCTACTGTAATTAATAGGAATTGTAATAGTCTGTTTTGGGTGAGGACTATAATTAAGCTGTGCTTCATTGTTTTCGCTGCACTTTTTTTGCTTTGTTGCTTTGGATGCAGAATGTGTAGAGATGCAGTGCAAAAGAAATGCTGTACTTGTTTGTGCAGTAATCCATCTGCTCTTCCCTCTGTTTTGATCTTGGTCATATTTCATCTGATAATACTGCTGTGTTGTTTAGCCTGTTAAATAGGAAACCAGAAGGGGAAGTGATCCTGATCAGTCTTGTGCTTAAGTGTTTTATTCATGTAACAAGGCAGATAAGATTACTTAAAAACAGAACAACCTAACAACCTTCATGCTGTGTTTCTGTTTGAGTTTTAAAAAGTTGTTTTTTGTTTTTTTTTTTGCAAGGGGTGAATGCTGTGGCCTTTAGAGTGGGAGGAGAGTGGAAGAAGTCTTAGCGTACGAAAAATAAAGGAGTGGTTGTCATTCTCTCTTTTCCTGTACCAGCCCTTTGTGGGCCTTCACTTCACTGTGGAGTTAGTCCAGTTAATGGACTCACAGAGTGGCTGTGTGGGAGAGGATGGTTAGCTGAGGAACTACACAGAATGTAATGATCTGTAACTCAGGATGCTGCATAACTTATAGAAAAAGTAAAAATTTGGTTAGACTTAAGTATGCAGATCAGGTAATCAAGGTAAGAACATTTAGTTATTACTTAACTGGTTAGGTTGTACTTGAATAGTCTTTCACAGTTACTGCTTTCAGAATATAATTTTCTTGAAAGACAACATTCACTCAATCTTGCATTCAGGCTTGAATTATAGGAAGTACAATTGTTATACATCTTTAATGGGATCTTCTGTCTTTGCTGACTTTGTAGTAATTGAATTCTTAATAATCTTAGGTATAATGAGGGTTTATGTAGGACTTGCTATCAATCAGAAAATGTAAACACATTAAAAGTGTTTATTGAATGCGGACTTGGAGTGACAGCGACCTCAGTGTAACTTTAACTGTCATATTCTACTTATAGGTAAAAAGAACATACTCTCATGGTACGTATAGAGCTGGCCCAATGAGACAGATCAGCCTGGTTGGAGCAGTTGATGAGGAAGTGGGGGATTACTTTCCTGAATTCCTTGATATGTTGGAAGAATCACCCTTCTTAAAAGTAAGGACAGAAGGGAATAGGGTGGGTGAAGGGGGATGGTGCTCTGGTAGTGTAAAATCAAGTGACTGTGCTATGATGTTCACTTAGATAATTGAGTTGCTTAATAAACATGCTCACTCTGACAGATAAAGACTGCTTTAAGTAATATATATAAATTCACTTCAAAATTGTGCCTTGTATTTCCCATTAGTGTACGCTGCCATGGGGAACACTTTCTAGTTTAAAATTAGAGAGTCGTAAAGACAGCGATGATGGTCCCATTATGTGGGTACGTCCAGGAGAGCAGATGATCCCTGTGGCTGACATGCCAAAGTCACCTTTCAAAAGGAAGAGGTATGTTGATGCATTTTGCTTGATAAGTGTTTGGTTAGTATTCATTCTTTGAAAATTCATTTTAATTCATTTTACTTCTAACATTTTGCTGGCTTATATGTTACTTTAATGTAAATTGTTGAAAGTGTTCATCTCAAAAGATACAATTTTAAGTTGCTTTGCCTTACAAGAGTAGTTTTGATTGGTGATAATGTGTTTTTTGTTTATTTTAAAAATATTTTTATTGTTTACTGTCTGGCCAAGGGCACTGCTGGTTCTCTCAAGAGTTTTAAGAAGAATTTAAGGTTACCATCTGAATATTCCTCATGCAATGAATTTACAATATAGCGAGGTGAAAACTGCAGGGAAATGTAAATAGGCATACAGCTATTGATATATGCCTGGAGACTGGTGGTGACATTCCTCTTCTTAAGTGTGATTGAATTTTTAAAGACCTCAAAGGACAGGGGCTTCTCTCTCATCTGAAAGATGACGTGCCCAGCCTTAAATCCTGTTTCTAAGTTTTCTTGTAGTACTGGGTATAAGCACTAGCTTGAGAGTGAGAATATCTGCTGCAGAAATTGAAAATTATACTGTGCCTTTGGAGCACTCTTCTTCAGGATTCAGGTACATAAAGGAAGCAGACAAGGAATGGACGCAGGGTCACATGCCTCAGGAATGTACTGTGAAGGGGATACAGGTAAAGTCTGAGTCTATCTGGAGATGAATTTGGTAAGGTGTAAAGAATGTGAAGGGCAACAAGAGGGACTTCTGAAGGTGTATGTGCAGCAAGAGAAATGGATAGGGAAAATTTAGATAATCTGCTGAATGGGGCAGAGGTCATAGAGAAGCGAAGAGCAAGTTACTCACTGCTCCCTTTGTGCTGCTCTTCACTGGTAGGTTTAGTCTCCAGTATTTCCAGGTCTAGAAGACAATTGGAGGGCTGGAATGAGGACTGTTTGCCTTCAGTGGAGGTGGATTGGATTAAGGAATTTTTTAAACAGATGAAATATGCAGAAGCACCTGGGGCCTGGCAAGATGCACCCAGAAGTGCTGCAGGAATTGGTCATATTGCAAGGCTGCTCTTGATTGTCTTTGAAAGGTCGTGGCGATTGGCCAATGTTCTTGAGAACTGGAAGAAAGCAGATAGCACTCTAATGTTTCAGAAGAGCAAGGAGCTGGACCTGGGGAGCTACAGGCCAGTCAACCTTGCCTTGACCCTGGGAAGAATGTGACTTTGAAACATGAGGGACAATAATAGATATTGGGTGTAGCTGGCATCAGTTGGTAAATGGGAAATGGTGCCTTATCAACCTGATGGTCTTCCTGATGACAGGGCGTAGAGAGGCAGGTGCTGATCTCTTTGGAGATACCAGTGAGAATCTAAGGAGTGGCATGGTGTTGTGTCAGAGGGTCAAACTGGGGAGTAGGAAAAGGTTCTTCACAGGAAGGTGGTCAGGCCCTGGCATGGATTCTGTAGGGCTGGAGTCGTGGTACCAAATTGCCAGGGATCAGGAAGCATTTGAACTATGCTCTCAGACACAGGGTTTGAATTTAGACTTGATTCTTACAGGTCTCTTCCAACTCCATTTATTCTGTGAATCCATTCTAATCTACAACTAAATGATTGGCATAATGGATGAGGGTGTTGCTAGGGTTGTTGTTTATCTTGGCTTTAGGAAGATTGGACACCTGTCTGCCTAACCTAACTTCCTAACGTTCAAATTAATGAAGGACAAGCTAGACAGATGAAGAATGAAATGAATCAAGAATTGGCTTAATTTCTGTGCTCAAAGGGTTGTGATCAGCAGCTTGAAGTCTAGTTGGAAGGTAGTCTCTGTTCAATATTCCCATTAATGATGGGACATCAGCAAGTCTGCAGACAGTATAGAATTGGGAAGGAGTGATTGATGCACGAGAGGGTTGTGCTGCTAAGCCAGAGGACTTGACAGGCCAGGTCTTATGAGGTCAGCAGAGAGAAGTTTGGGATCTTGCACCTATGAGGAAGTGTGCATCAGTTCAGGCTGGAGACTGGCTGAAAAGCAGCCTGATAGATGAATACTTGCCAGTCTTCATGAATGACAAATTGTAAGCTGTCACTGTGCCTCTGTAACAAAGCAGGTCAGCAGCTGTTTGGACGGGATTATGAAGAGTACTGTCAGCATGCTGATGGAGATCATTCTTCTCCCTTACTGGTGTAACACATCCAGAGTGTTGTGCCCTTCTCTGGGCTCACCAGTCCAAGGCAGACCTGGGCATACTGAAGCAGATCTGGTGATATGCAAGTTGGTTACTGGAAGAGGTGGGATTTAGCCTTGTGAAGGGAAGGCTCAGCAGTGTTGCAGAAGCATTTGATAGGAGAGAGAAAAAGAGGAGAATCACGCTTTTTCAGCAGTGCCTGGTGACATGAGGGAATGGGCACAAGCTACATTACAAGAAATTTCATTTAAAACAATAGCAACAGAACCAAACCCCCTTTACTGCATGGGCAGTTGATCCCTAGAAGAGGTTCTTCAGAGCTTGTGCAGTCTCTGCCTTCAGAGATGCTCAGAACTTGACAGGTGACAGCCCTGAGCAACCTGCTGTGGTTGTGCATGGGAAGGTAGACCACATGCTCTCTAGATGTCATGTGCAACCTGGCATTCTAAGTAGCTCTTGAAAAAATGTTTTGTGGCACGCAGCACAGGCATAGGCTGGATACAGGAAAAGGTCTTGTGTCTCTGTTCACCACTGTGTTGTGTCCTCCATGCTCACTAAACTCTGAAGAAATCTTTCTGCTTCTCATTCTTAGTTTTGTAGTGTGGAATTAAATATGCATGCATGTTTTCTGACAGTTCAGTGGAAACACAAATGGTAAAAACTGCTTGAAGAATGGTTGTGGTGTTTATCAAACTGTTGCACACACTGTGAGCTGGTAGAAGATGAATGCTCTTATAGCATGGCTCAGGCAAGGTTGAAGCCCAGGCTTAACCTTAAATATGAAACTCCTGGGTGCTTTGTCAGGGTGTGTAGATGAGAGAGGCTGAGTCATCAAGGCCTTTTAATGTACTTAGGAACCTGACAAATTTTTTTGTTTGCATCAGTATTCTGATTTTTTGCTTAGCTCGTTACGTATTTTGTTTGCTGTAAGGGTTACTGTCCTTCTCATTGGACTGTATAGTCTCACCATCCTGTTGGCTGTGGATAGAAATCAGACAATTAAGGGAAATTTCTGTATCACCAGTACTGTTTTTGTTCTACAGAACTACCAATGAAATAAAAAACTTGCAGTACCTACCTCGAACCAGTGAACCACGTGAAATGCTATTTGAAGACCGGACACGAGCCCATGCAGATCACATAGGACAAGGTTTTGAACGACAGACTACAGCTGCTGTGGGAGTGTTGAAGGCTGTGCACTGTGGAGAGTGGTATGTGTTGACTGACTTACTCAGCTGGGCGTCTGGAAAATATTTACCTCAATTTCCATTTATTATCAAAAGACAGAGCACTCAATAGGCTAATCTAGCATTGGAGGTATTTAAATAATACTTTGTAGATAACTGGATTTTTTTCTATCTCTCCTTGCACCAGCTGTGCTTGTCTGCCCTTTTAAAGACTGCATACAGCTTGCAGCGTGGCTGAAACTGGAAAGGTGCCCTGCAGCAGCAGTTTAGTAGCTGTGATTGAATTGCTGTAATGAAGTTAGTGTTGGATGTAAAAAATTCTTCACACTTTTGTTTTAGTTTAAATAACACATGCATATTGAGCTGAATTTCTGCTTCAGAGGTGCAGGTGAAGGCGTTTTGGCAATTCTGTGTGTTGTCTGGATATGAGCAAAATTTTTGTTTTTGCTTTAAAGTCATGGCTGCTGTAACTCTGACTTACTAATGGTAGATTGCATAAGAAGAATCTTCTTGGAGTCTGTGTGATGGTCTTGAGTGTCTGTCTGAAATTCCCACGTGTCATTCAGGAAATGAATTTATCTTGTTAGAAGCTATTTACATTTTGACTGAATAAAGAAACCCCTAAAGCACGTGGGCTTTGTCACCCAGAGCAAAGAATCTTTGTTTCAGGAACTTCTGACCTTGGTTTGGGGGAATGACCTTAGTTTTGGAGGTTACCTTTTGTATACTTAAATAGAACCACCTTTTGCTCTTTCTATCTTCCTGCCCAGAATTCCCTTTGGATGAGATAATGCAAATTTATGTTACAGTGCAAGAGTTAATTGAGATAGGAAATAATTGCCCCTGGGAGAGAACTAGATTGCTTAGAAGTGAACGTGTTCTTATTTCTGGCTCTGAGATTTTATGATTTACTTCTCATCAGGCTCATGACAGCTGGAGCTTCAAAATCCCAGCTTGTTTTGGTCGTGTGAAGCTGGAGTGAATTAAGATTGAGGAGTGGTAGTAGAGCAAGAGTTGAGCTACCGCGTAAATCTGAGGGAGGTGTGATTGAGGAAGGGGGGAGAGAGCATTGTCAAAGCTTTATCAAGGAAAATGTGAGAAAACAAACTCGTCCCTAGAAACTGGGAAGAGTTTAATGTGATTTAAACTTATCCAGGAACTTCCTATCCTCACCCTGTCCCTCCATAATAAGATCATCCCCTCCTGGATATCATTACGTTTTCGTTTACATTCTACAAGTAAGTTTTCCCACCTTTTATGCTTTTCAGAATGAAACCACCATCTTCTCTTCTAGGTTGGAGCTTGTGGAAAAGCGAATCTGTCCAACCTCCATTAAAATTCCTTTTAAACTTATTTATGTGTAAATTGAGAAGTGATCTGGAGATAGCCAGATCTACCAGACAGACTTCAGCCTAAGGGAGAGGAAGAAAGAATGAGCATTTCACTTCAGCAATAGAGACTGAAAATGTATCTTTTAGTGCGGGGAAAAAAACTGGAATTGATATATGTAATAAATTGCCTCTCACTGCAAGAATGATATTGAGGCCCTGGAGGTGGAGGGCAATGAAGTTGTGAGGGGTCTGCAGCACTGGTCTTGTCAGGAGCAACTGAGGGAACTGGGATTGTTCATTATGGAGGAGGCTCAGGGGTGTCCTTATTACTCTCTACAACTGCCTGAAAGGAGATTGTGATGGGGTGGAGCTCGGCTGCTTCTCCCACATAACTATCGATAGGACGAGAGGGAATGGCCTCAAGTTGTACCAGGGAAGATTCAAATTGGATATTGGGAAATTCCTCTTCTCTGACAGAGTGGTGAGGCAGGGGCACAGACTGCCCAGGGAGGTGGTGGAGTCACCGTCCCTGGAGGTGTTGGAGAAACGTTGAGATGTGGCACTGAGGGCCATGGGTTGGTGGGAAATGTTGGTGATAGGTGGATGGTTGGACTGGATGATCTCTGGGGTCTTTTCCAGCCTTGGTGATTCCGTGATTCTCTGTAGAGGAGAGAAAAATATAACACAATTGATGGAATAAAAATGATGTATTTCAAGCTACATTTGACCTCTGTGATAACTTCTTTCCCTTTCTACCTGTCAGTACAGTTTTGAGAAGGTACCATGCTGTATTTATAAGCCCTGTTTAGTTTCTTTCGTATAATGAGACATTACTGCAACACATTAAAGTAATTTCAGCTATTATCTTTACCATGGCTCTTAAACTGTGAGGGGTTTTATACTAAACAAAGCAATATGTGTGGAAATCTTGAAAACTGTATTTGACAACAGAAGTAGAACTTGGAGCTGTGCCAGGAGTGAGGAGGGCACAGTGGAAATAAAAGCACACGTTGTAACAAGAAGATACCATATATTAAAATATTTTCTTTCTCCTGAGGGGAAAATAAAGTAATTCTTAGACTTGCTGAACTGAGTGGTTAGTTTGTATTCAGTGTAAGAGTGAATAGAGCACGGAAAGATAGCTGCTTGGTGCTTGTAGGGCAACATGCCTAGAAAAGCACTTAAAAGATAAGAAATTGCTTTCCTCAGCTGCTGAATTGTTTGGGAAGTGCTGGCTGTGGTTGTGATGCTAATCTTGGGTTTTGTGGTCAGAGGGTACTGAAGAAGAATCATGCTTTATGTGCAGCAAACTAGTAGGGGTGGTGTGCAGGCTTGTTGGTACTTCTTGGGTTCTTGGGCGAAATGTATCTGTGTTAGTATTGAAGGGACTCCTCTATACCTACAGCTGAATGTTTATATGGACAGCTTATCTTACCTTGAAGAATTTTGTTTGTGACTGTGCTTGCCAACAACTTGGAGAAACAAAATAAGCTTAATGTATCCGTATCAGCTTTATGAAGGGATTGTGCTGTTAGGAGATTGAAATTTTTTCTTTCTTTGTGGGGCAGCAACATCGTTTCCTCCTGCAAATCATTAGGGCTGTAAATCTGTTGTTACTGCTCAAGTGATAGAAGTGGTAATTACATGTCTGGCCTACTTGGATATTTTTAAAGGATTTAAGCAGGAAGTCTTACAATCCTTTGTGCTCCTGGTCTAACTATAGAAGTAGTAGTGTGGTAGCTGACACAGTGGCCAGGGCATCTCATAGTTTGGATTGAAAATCTCTTTGGACATCTAAGTGAACTGTTTCCTGAGCATTTCACTTGCTTCAGATTGTACAAAATAGAATATCCGAGTTGTTTTGCTAATAATCATGTTTGCAAATGCAGAATTAAAAATTCCCTGGCAATTTTCTGTGTTTACAGGAAGAATGCCATGTTCTGTGGTATGATTGCAGTACAGAGTTGGTAATCATTTTGTTGCTTGTGTGTAGAGGTAGGGAGAAAAGTCATGACTAAAAAAACCACTTACTGTCCTGTGTCCTGACATAATGCTTAAAGCACTGAGCGAACACTGCTGTGAGAACTTGGCTTTGGGCTGAAATCCTTTTTATTCTCCGTATATTCCCTGATTAATCTCTGCATGTATGTCTGAGTTAAGAGTTACTTACTTTACAAATGACATTAGCTCCAAATGCAGATACGTGTCTTCCCTGATGTAAACTGTACTAAATGTCTTTAAAAGATAAAAACGTAACTGTATATCTGACATAAAAAGTAGATTCACGCAGCAGGTATTTTCATGCTGTTGATTAGAGCTGGTTCTTCTAAGCTTTTTGCTTTCAGTGCTGAAAACCTCTTCAGGAGGATATAGAAATGGAGGATATAGAAACAAACGGAGGGAGGTGTTTCTATCTTCATAAAATTGGGAGTACAATATGTGACGTAAAAATTGCCCTGTAGTTAAACCAGGCTTTTTTTTTCCTCTCTGTAAACAGCTTAAACTGTTTTTTTTTCTTTTTTTTTTTTTTTTCTCCTTTGTTGAGGTCATGACCTGAATCAAATGAATGCATCTCTTCAGTTTGAGAAGCCCAACAAACTTTGCATCACTGCCTGCTTCTTAGGACAAAACCAATACCATATGTATGCAAAAACCACAAATAATTATCTTCATGTGCTTTGAAAACATGGTCAGCAATCTATGTGGTGTGCTCAGAAATGCATGGATCTGTTCTGCCTGTGGGAGCAGGTCCCACCTGTGGCCCAGCTGGGAGGAGGAGGGCACCCAGCTCCCCAGGGACATGCGGCCGCTGTGCTGACCCTGCATGGCAGCCAGATGCAAAGGGCATCTCATCAACAGATGTTTCTTTTTTGGGGGGAGGAGGGGGAAAAAAATCCCTCAAAATCACATGCAAATCTTAGCTTTATGTAGAAGAACTGAATTTTATTTTTAGATTGGGAAGTGGTAAGGATTGTAGCTGTCGTGGCATTTGTTAATTAATTCTAGATAATTCCTTTGGAGACATTATTATATAAATGGTGCTTCTTTCAGAGAAGTGCTGTGGGACAAGAGGTGATTTCCTGTAACAGTTTGAATACTCAGGGAAGCCATAATTCAGATCTTGCTCCTCTGTAGCTGTCTAGTTAGTACAAGCACCAGTGTATTTTTCAGGGGATGCTGTGAAGGATGCTGGTGCTTGCTGCTCACTGGTGTTGTGGCAGATGAATTAGAACCAGCTTTATTCTCAAGTCTGAACAGGGTCTGTGAGGCTCAGATACCGAGCAGTGCTTGCAGCAGTCTCACTAGTGTTACGGTGTGCTTTGAGGTACCTGATGGGTGTAACGCACTAAAAAGTGTTGGCAGAGTAACCCTGACATCTCTGGGCCACCTGTCTTTGCGAGGCAGATGGAGGTCAGTAAAAGTATGGAGCTTTGATTTTTTTTCATTGCTTCTTATGTTAGCACTTGTTTAAAAAATGAAAAACTAAGATAATTCATTTAATCAGCATCATGAATTGAACTCATGATTGAGAACAAGCCATTGTAGTCAGCTTGTATTCTCTGAAATGTGGTCTGTGTTAGAATTGCTGAGTTTGTGTTTAGATGATTTCCTTTATCCTTTGTTTGCAGATTTCCTGTATTATTCTCTTTACCATATTAGTTTCAGCCTCTGACCATGCAATTCTTGCCTTCCTGTAGGTCTGAGCAGCCTCGTATAACCAAAGATGTAATTTGTTTTCATGCTGAGGATTTCTTAGAGGTAGTTCAGCGCATGCAGTTGGACTTGCATGAGCCTCCACTCTCACAGGTAAGCACACTGTGAACCATTCATTAATTGTCCTCTGCAAGTGCTCGAAGTTTTCACCCTTAATTTTTTTTCCTTTTTTCCTTCCAGTGTGTCCAGTGGGTTGACGATGCAAAACTGAATCAGCTGCGAAGGGAAGGCATTCGATATGCCAGAATTCAGTTATTTGATAATGACATCTATTTTATCCCGAGGAATGTTGTGCACCAGTTCAAAACAGTTTCAGCGGTGTGCAGCTTGGCGTGGCACATCCGGCTCAAGCTGTATCATTCCGAAGAAGAAGCTTCTCAAAACGCAAGCACTCTCGAAGCAGGGACCTCTGCAGACCCCAAGTCTTCGGTTATGGGACTTCAGACTGACAGCAGGATTTGTACAATAAGCAGAAATACCTCCGAAGACGCCAAACTTTCAGACGTTCTGCAGCAGGAATTTGTGCCGATAAAACACGAACCTATTGCATCTCACCGAATTAAAGAAGAACCCATGAATGTTGATCTTGCTGAAAAGACTGTGGCGCCCCATGACAGCAGGGGCCAGAATGTTCAGACTAGATTGGATCAGGTTGAGTTGACGGCGTTTAAGTTGGAAATGGGTTCCAAATTTGAACCTGGCAGCAAGGACTTACAAGGCAAGTTGTGCCCCGGCAGTCACGTACATCCGGATGATACGAGACAACATAGTTCATATCCAAAACTGCATGGACAAAGAGAGGATGATTTTTTGTGCTAAATTTGTATATATTGTTTTAAATTCCTTTTTAAACTTAATGATGTAATAATGTAAAGATTCATAAGTTCTGTGAGGCAAGTTTGTGACTTGCCTTCGCATCTGTTACAGAAGATAGTTATGTAGCTTTGTAACATTCCTCAGTGCCTGTCCATAACTGTGAAGTATCAAAGCACTTAGGGCCAGATGCACTGTAAACACTGCAGGTTTAACATAAAGAAGTCTTTAAATAATTTTGAGTTGTAGGTTTTAGAGTAGAGCTGACATTTAACATATATATTTTTTGTAAGATGAGCCAGAATTCTTTTTGACAATTCCAGGCTTTTCCATAGAGCTTATTTATACCAATTTTTTCATTTTAAATGTGTCAGCACTGTAGTGTAAATATCTTTTTTAAAAATCTTTTTAGTGTGATTTATACTGAAACGTGAGCCACTTAATAAAGGTTCATAATAACAGATTGGTTTTATTTTTGGGTCTGCAAAAAATAATTCAGTTAAACTGCCTCTGTCAATGGTTCTGTTTCTACCTGCACTAAGGCATAGGATGCTCTCACTCCGTTGCGGAGCGAGGAGCTGCAGCAAACTGAGGTAGAGCGGAGGCATTCTTTGTCAGCCAAGACTAAGTCAGAATGCAAAATCAGCCCTCCCTGCACAGCTGCTCATTAAAGGCGCTCTCCGAATCCTGTCATCACTTGTTGATGTGGAACAGAGACAAACGTTACCCGCAGCCTTTCTGTGTCAGGAGGTTGGACACCAGTGGGCTCCAGGAGTGCTGCCGGCGTCTGTGTAGCTGGGCTGGGCAGGGTGGCAAACTCCTTTTGTGCTCATCTTCTACCCCTGCGCAGCCACAATTCATATATTGCTTTCCACGTTTTAAAAACAAAGCTCATATCAGTTATCTGACTAAATTAGAACAAAGAATGTTTTTAAATGGTTACTCAAACTGAAGCCAATATAGCTTGAGCGGCGGCCTGACGCTCACTGAGGCAAATTTGGATTAAGATTGCTCCACGTGCTGATAGTGCAAGGCAGTACAGATAGACTGGCCAGTGTGTCTGGTAGGAAGATTCCTCGAGTCCCAGGTTAGAAGTAACAATTTCTTCATCAGGAAAATGATAGCGGTTTCCAAGTTTGACTGTTCACCTCTTTCTACTCTGTGGAACTCCGTAGTTTTCCCAACCTGTGTTCTGAGAGAAGAGGTTACAAGGCTAGCTAGCGTCTGATGTGGTAATGGCAAACACTGTAATTTAACTTATTTGTGTGTAACGTGTTGCTGTGTAGTACAAACACATCTGAACGCTGTTTCTTTTTCAGGTAGCTACAAACAGCAGTAACCTGCCCTGCAGCCTGTCCTTCAACTAAATATTTAAAACTTGAGATTCTAGGCCTGTTGTTATTTTTGAAGCCCTAAAGTCTCCAGGTTCTGGGGGGCAATTTTTTTCCCCAGGGCTTCTTGAAAATTACACATCCTTACAGGCACAAATCAAGACCTTTGATATGCTTAGTGATCCACTTTGGCTTCAATTGTAGCAATAGAACAATGTGTTGTTTTCTTTCCCAGGTGTTGTCTAGTTCAACTACCCGAGGGCCTTTTGGTGCAAATATTTCTTGCTCCTAGGTTGTTAAAATTGTTACTTTGTACTTATGCCTGGCACTGAAATCAGCCATTTACCTGTCGTGTGCCCTAATGTGTTTAAATCTACAATAGGTCTGTTGAGGAATTATTAATTAAATCAGCATTTGAATTGCTAAATGTTACTCTTACGTAGCCATAATTATGTATTAGAGAAGCAATAGAATCATGAATCTCTTGGATGTGGCGAAATCTAATTGCTGTTTTCATGACTTCTGGTTAAGAGATGACTACCAGTTTTGCAGCCTCAGGGATCTCGCTTCCCCCCACTCCATAAGCAAATGGCTCACGTGTGCCGCGGTAAGTTACCACTCCAGCATACTCGGATTTGAGGTGTTGATTGGTTCATGTAAGGATTTGAGCCTTTGCGATAGAAACGTGCTCTCAGCTCCCATTGGACAATCTGGAATTTTCCACCCATAATCTCCTGGCCTTGCAAACACGCCGTTCTGTAGCCTTCCATTCCTTTTCTTTGTGCCAGCCATCAGACAGCAGGGAGGAGCTGCAGGTCGTAGCTTCTACCCAGCACGCAGCTTTTCAAATCCATTAGTAGACAGCTCCAGCTTTATGAGAACCAGCCAGCCTTGACAGATGCAGCTTTTTTTAATTTTTTTCCCCTTTGAATCTCATTTGTGTTCTGTTGATCCGTATGCTGAGCATTCAATTTTTTTCCTGTTGGATTTCAGTGAAATTTATACATCCCTTCCCCCTTTCCCTCTTCCCCCCCCCCCCCCGATGGCAGACTTTTCTGTACTGTGGGTCCTCTCCAGACTGAAGAAATCAATATTTGAAAATAGTGTAGCAGATACGACTTTATGCTTACAGTAGAACATTTTTCCATTTGAAAACCTGCTCAGTGGTCCTGGCTGGTGTGCTCTCAAACTTCTGCTCAGGTATGTCTTCATTCTGACATTTTGCTTCTTCACTGCCCACGTTTTAAATCCATTTTTTTGTCATTTTCAGAATTTTGAGAGAGAAGTAGCAGCAGTTCTTACGATTTTTATGCACTGTTTGTTTTTGAGACAAATTAGATTGTGACTGTTAGGCAGAGCTTGAAGAGAGGACATGAACAGGACACAACCAATGGCTGTCAGAAGTGCCATTGTACACAAATGTGCACAGGGTTTGCATTGACCAGCTGCAGTGGGATACACTTGGCTAGCTTTGAAAACCAAACTTTGTCCTCTACCTGTGGTGTATTCATCTTGATATGGTTGCTTTTCAAGGAGGACGATTTCTGAGAATTTCAGCTCCCAAGTTGTTCATTAGTCTGATAAAAATCTTGGTGTCAAGTGGTCCTATGCGATATCCTCTGCTCCTGTTGCATACATCAGCTTCACATCCAGACTTTTGCTCCAGCAATAAATCTTTCCTGCGCTGCGATGGACTGACACCAGTCTTTGCTTGTTGCTTTTTTCTTCCCCCTGGATTTCAGTTTTTTATGACTCTGTTACTTTGGCTGAAATCTCTGGTGTTCTCTTTTGGCCCATGTTCTTCTGCAGATGGAAAAAATCCACGTGAGGCACAGTGCCTGTACTGCAGTGGTGGTCACATCCGTGTGTTTGCCGTGCTGTCCCAGCTAGTGACACATGTGCAGAACCTTAGAGATGTTTCCATAGATCCTGTACTGTTTTTGTGAGTAGCAAAGAGCTGCGTTGTTACTGACCTTACCAATAGCTCTCAAGATGGTAGTTACTGTTTTTGTTACGATTACTGGAGCTTTTGCATCTCACTGGCAGCTGGCTTCATGTGTTACGTACAGGTGTTGCTGGTGTTGTGTCACCCCCAGCCCTCTGATGCCTGCAAATTGACTCCAAAACAGCCTTTTCATTACAGGTACTGCTGGCATGCAGATTTCCCCTTCCTTGTTACTATAGTGAATATTTCAATACTTTAATGGAAATATTAATTCTATCTAGTATTAGAAATAAAGTATTATTTCAGAGGGTGATGATTTAAGTATTCATCTGTGAAGGAATTCCTTGGTGATGAATAAAATTGATTTTTAAGTAAAAATGCACGTGCGCAGTAAATATATTGGCATTGCAAATAACGTAGGGAATGGACACGTGAAATGGTTGACTGCTGTGGAAACAGATTGGCAGAATGTTACGAACTTGGAACATTGAAGAAGTCTTCCAGGAAACATAAGGAAAATATTCTTTGTTTAAAAATGACCATTTTCTAATATGTGCATGTGAATCAGAATGCTGAATTGATGAAAAAAAACCCATGTTTTCTTTATGCTCACAGGAAAAAGACCCATTGTGAGAGGGGTTACCAACTGACCCTACTGATGAAAGCTGTACTAATTCTGATCAAATGGTATCAGACATCTTTGCAGGCTTCTCAGCTGTAATTGCATTCATTTTTGTGACGGTCAGACGAAGCTGAGTTCACTTAGGCAGCCAGCGCCTTTGACCTGACTGTGAATGTGTACGAGTCAGAAATGGGAAGGATGACTTCTGACTGCTGTGTGAGATGCTGTTAAAAATGCTTTCCTGGGTTGTGAGTCCCTGCTACTACTTGTTTGGTACCTTACTGGGTGGATGAAACGCACTTTAAAAACTGTGTAATAGGTAATGCTGATGTTCTGTGCCGTCCTGCTGAGTTTCCTGCACACGTGAACACCTGGAAACCTTTTACTCCCATTGGTCACTCATTTCATTTTCCTTAAAAAATAGAAACAATTCTGCTGTGTGTGCAGCTTCTCACCCAGAAGCAGTGATTAACTTCGTGGTATCTAGGTTGCTAGTTCTGTTAGAGTCATCGGATGTGGACTTTCCCAATCTCCTGTATCAGATTCGGGCCGCTGTGTTCCTTTGTACTGTGATGCTGTTATTGCTTCTGCTTTAGAGCTGTTCTGTACTGAAGTGCCAGGGAACCACTGGCTGCCTTGTGTTCTGGCCACACTGATAGACAGCTTTCTGATGAGGTCATTAGTCCTAAATAGTCCTTCAACATTTGGTGTATGGATGTGATATTCTGATGCGGTGATTAAAGGAGAAGATTAAAGTTCTATTTTTATCAAGTTTTATTTCTCAGTAACTATTTCAATGTTTCCTTCTACCGACTGATTTCCACTTCACTTGAATGAGACTGTGGTGTGTGGCAGAGGTTAGGCTTGTGTTTTAAGGGCTCATTTCCATGGAATTTTTGTTTTTTAAATCTGGTTGCGTTGTAGGGCAGTTAGCTGAGAAAGGTGCTCCATAGAGTTCCAAGGAGAAAACCTTGCCAATTAGACCACTTTTCTATTGGGCAAATGCGAAAATTTCCCCGAGATAAAGATTTTGCTTCTGTACTACTGTGTGTATTTGTCAGAAATAGTACTGCTTTCATCTCTTAAGTCATCCTGTAACTCAGTCCTGTGCTATCTTATTTTGAATGTTGTCATCCGTGCCAAGCAGTACATTTGGATTGCATGTATGCACATTCTTAAAGTGTTCAGGTTCAAGTTTGGGATGTATGTTGCACAACTGTATCTTCCAAGAACAGAGAACTTCATGCTGTTCTACGATGCTGACAGATCAAGAAAAGCAATAGAAATAAGTAATGGAAAAATTTAGTCTCATGGTCTTTTACACATGTGCATTGAATATTTATTTTCCTGAATCTGACAAAAGTAGATACTCATCTATAATGCATGCTGAAGTGTTCAATCTTGTATGAATGATTTGAATAGAAATAAATGATGTAGAATATTTATCACCATATATATGCTATCAATATATATATTATCTACATATCAGTCATCAGGATATGATCAACAGTGTTTCATTTCAGAAGAGAAAACCTTTCAGTCGCATTCTGAAGCAGATTTCTCCCCATGCTCCGTGTCACAGCTGCGCCATGCAACTGGGACAGGCGTTCTCTGCTGTACCACCACGTCACTGGGTGTGACTTCTGGCAATTCAGGATGAGCCATCTCAGCATCAGCTTTCTGCATCCCCTGGTGCTTTATCAAATCTGCCTTTTTTTTCACTCATCTTGGTTCAGTGCTGTAACCAATGCCTTTGAGAATATGGTAGTTTTAAACAGCTGTAATTCCTGCATCAGCTTCTGGAGAGTCACAGCGAAATTTGGATTGGATTTTTCTGAATGAAGTTATGATAGCGGAAAAAGGCAGAAGAGTGCAAAGGTATCGCAGCTGCAGCTCTAAGTCAGCGTTAGAACCGATGCGAAGTAGTGAATCAAAAGGGATATTTTTATCATCAAAGACCAAGAAAAAAATTGCAAAACTCAGTGTTTCCAGGTGGCTGCATCCTACAAATGTCTCTTGATGAGTGAAACTGTGCATGACCTATGCAGGACACCAGGAAGAAACTGCTGCTTCAGCACTTCCAATCAGAGATTCATTTCCAGGTTTTTAAGTAGACCCTTAAAAGTGGATGAAGAACAAAATCTCCCCACAACAACAACAACAAAACCTGAGAGTAGGCAGCAATTGTGAGGAGATTAGAATCATAGATTTGCTCAGTTTGGAAAAGACCTTAAAGATCATCGAGTCCAACCACAACCTAACCATACTACCTGAACTCTAACAACCCTCCGCTACATCATGTCCCTGAGCACCACATCCAAACAGTTTTTAAACACATCCAGGGATGGTGACTCAACCACCTCCCTGGGGAGCCTATTCAGTGCTTAACAACCTTTCTGTAAAGAAGTTCTTCCTGATATCCAACCTAAACTTACCCTGGTGCAACTTGAGGCCATTTCCCATCATCCTGTCACTAGTGAGAACAATTTGAAATAACTGTGCTCAGTCCTAGTAAACTGGAGATGCCAAACTTCCAGATAGTAAGAGCGTCTGTGAACTAGAGGGATTTGTGAAGGAGGCACAGTCATTTCTGCAGTTCATCTTGTAATACAGCAGGTCCTAATGAGGCTGGTTGCTATTCTTCCATCAGTTACTGCCATCTGTTAACATCAGCTTCAGTGAGGAAATCTGCACTGCTCTTCTGAGCAGGAGGGGTTTTGGCTTTTTTGCTGCTGCTTCTACCTTCTTTGCCTCTTCCAAATGAAGATCTTTTTTGTGTTTTCTTTCCCATGAGAAAAACTTTCATTGTGCAAAATGTCGACCGCTTGGATTTCTCCTCCCAGTGAGCCACAGTGCTCCACGAGGACGGGTTTTTGGAAAGCTAAAAACCACAGGCTGGTGCCATGGGCACACGTGTCCTTCTGTCCCCTGGGAGCACACATGTCCTCACCACAGTCCTGCAGCCAGGCTGGAGGAAAGCCCAAAGGTATTTGGTCACTAGCGTCATGAGTTCCCACCCGTTCTCAGCCCTGCCAAGCAGCTGCAGAAAGGCCAGGGATGCTCACTCTTACGCTTGGTGCCCTAAGATACCGCATCAAGGTAAGTGGGCCCGGTGAGTCTGTCATATTCTCCATCAGGCCTTATTCAGGACTGAGACCCCCTCACCTAAGTTCAGGTGCTGGTTATGTGTTTGCAGCAGGTGGCTCACAGAAGTTTACCATGATTCGGAGGTCGGTGGGTCTTTGCATAATCTTCACCTTCATCATTTTTTCATCATTTTTCATCCAATAAACATTTTACATGAAGCCTGGCTTGCCAGCTGTAGAACATTACAGAGAACGCATCTCAGCCATGGGAGCCAGAGAAGGTGCACTGACTGTTCCTTACGTCATGTATGTATGTGCACTCATTTCCCATGGCAGGCAGGCTGGGGAGCTGAATGCCCTTCCTCCTGCCCCCAGCATCCTGCTACACCCAGCTGCAGTGCTGTTTTCACTTCAGGTTCACAAAGATGCTGAAGCCTGTCCTTCAGGAGTGAGCAAGAGTCTGACTTGAACACATAGGCATTGCTGAAGGCTTTTCCAGAGCTAAGCAGGATACAGGGATGCCTCCCAAAGAGGAATGCTGCTACCGAAGGAAAGAAAATGTGTTGTGCCATGGTTTTTTTTTTTCCTTCTGGAGGGAAGAAAAGTTCTTATTTCAGCTTCCCATAAATCGTGATGCTTGTGAACTGGGATGGAGTACACAAATGTGCTTAGCAAAAGCTGATGTGTTATGACATTCTTTACAACAGCTAAAGAATAGAAAGATTTGTCGTTCCCTGGTTTCCCCATTTATAGGGGAGATAGGGCAGCCAACCACACAGAAGCAGCCTGAATGGATGCTGAGAAATCCTTTGTTAGCCCATGTTCCAAGCCATGATCCAGTGCTTCAGGCTGCAACGGGTCCTGGTTGCTATGTATTTATTCTATGTCTGTACGATTGAAGAGCAAGCAAAAAATCTAGGGACAGAGGATGAGCTTCCCTTTTAAGAGGACATGCAGTTGAATGCAACTAGTTAATATTTTTCCCATGAGGCATTTTAATCTAATCAATTGCTGTTACCTCAGAAGTCTTTCCCTGGCTCTTTTCACTCACTGAAAATTTTTCTTGTACCCAGAAAACGTAAATGGATCAGCATATTCATAATTTTGTCTTAAGAAACCCAGACTTGAATTTGATGTTATCCTGGCTCCTGGAAGAGGACTTCCAACCCACACAATAGGATTCTTGTTCACATCTTCCCAGAAGTCCCATTCATTGTATTTGGCATATGAAGAAGTACTTTTGCTCACATCTGTGTTTGCTGATGCTCCGAAAAGCCAAAGCTTCACCTCCATGGATTTAATACACCATAGCATTAAAAACTATTTTTTTCCTTAAAATACCACTTCCTGCAGGTACAAATGCATTACAGCAGCTGCAGTCTCTTAAAGCACAAGTGACTTCTTACTGGGATCATAATTATTGTTTTCTTCCTCTCTTCTGAATGTTAGGCTGCTGCCATAGTTCAGCTACTCACTTTTCCCTAGGTGAACATACTGTTTATGTTTCAGCACTTAAGAACTCAGTTTAGTTTCAGTTTTTCATACCAAAAGAGGATTCTTATGTCAAAAAGATGTCGCTGAGTTACTTTTTTGCTCTTTTTAGTGGCTTCCATTTGTTACTGATTCTTAAATTTGAGTGACAGTATAAGACATAAATAACTTTCTTACAAGGATCCCCTAAGTGCTGAATTCAGTGGATAGAACATCTGTGGTTCCTTCCAGTATCTATCTGCACGGGAAAAGGCTTACCTTTACTCCATGTAACGAACAACCATATTAAAACACCTTATGTGGAACAAATACTTTTATTTACAAGAGAAAGTACGACCATTTGAAAATAAAAAATGGTACAAGTCTACTTCTGGTCTTCAGCCTGGCATAGGTCACATCTCCAGCATGTTTCCTTGGGCGGCATTCTGGCTTAGGGATCACATTTGTGGCAGAACTAATAATCCAGCAAATCGGTACCAAATCTCCAACTGGAGAGCCACACGCAGCTTAGTCTCTTCTTACATAAAAAATATTGTATCCAAGTTCAATCATACCCCCAATAAGCAAGGCCCACAGTGGGATAAATACATAGGCTAGTTTCATCGTGGTGAACTGCTGCAGCTTAGCACAGAGGGCAAGGCAGAAGGCCAATTTGAGCAGCATTGCAATGAGATACCAGGTTTTCTTCTTGATGTTCTGGGAGCCGTTGCGAGGGTCAAAGCCAGACTTGCAACGTCCAGCCATCTTTACAATTAACATAACTAAAAGAATAGTATCAAATATCCAGACTGGAATGAAAATGAGGAACCAGTTCCATGGTGCTTTCTCATCCAACTTCAGCACCAGCATGATGAGGAAGAGTAATGTAAAAAGCCATGTCAGTAGTACTCTTTGTGCCAGGGACATTCTCATTTAAACAGCTTGGAGAGGAAGTCTGGCAAGTGGTCAGCAACCTAACGAAACAAAACACACAGGAGGGCCATCAGAAGCTGTCATTATACAACCACCAGGCATGTTCTGTGCACATTAATAGCACCTCTTTCTGTCAAACAGCAATCTTAAAATACTGAAGCTTATGGATAATGCTTGCATTGCGGCAAGTATCTAAAGTATGCAGGCACTGGCTGCTAGTAGTACATCTATTTACTGGCCTGGTAGTACGTTTAAATCGCAGTATAGTCATGATGAAAGAAAAACAGGAACAAATTATCAGTCATTGTACTCATAAAGGTTTCTATATTCCTAAATGAGACTTTTAACCACTACAGCTACCAGAAGACTTTCACTACAAGTCTAAAGTACCAACTGTAAAGCAGGAACAGGAAGAACTACGATCCTCCTTAGTCGTCCAAGCTACAACAATGAATAATTACATACCAGTGAAAAATAGGTTTCATAAGCAACTATTTTCAATATTTGAGATTTAGATATGTCATAACAATTAATTCTGTAAAACAAATATTGTTTTGCTTGAAACAAACTGAACTTTGCTCTGTTCCAGCTGACAGAACCTAGCATCTGACCTTTCCTGCCTGCTCCCAGAGGGGCAGGACGAGCCCCTTTCCCCCGCAGGCACTGCTGGCTCCTGCTGTGGCTGCTGTTCTTACTGATGCTTACCAGATCCACTAAGTCTATTCAACTCCCTGAACAGGCAGAAAACTATTAGCAACATTTCCCTTCTAATTTTTTTTTTTCCCCCCACATTAGAACACTAAACTGGACTAGGGGACAGGCATTCTGTATGCCACTAAAATCATCCCTCTGTCATCTGATTTGTAATTCAACCAACTTTCATTTTTGCTAAGTCTTTGAGGGCAAAAGTGGGAACTGTTTTAAGGAACAGATCTGGCCAAGCCTAAAATAATCCAAGTTGGAGTTACTGTCAGTGCAGCTCTTCCCTCTGGCCCTTGAGTGACCCCCAGGCCAGTTTCTTGAGCTGAACAAGTGAAAATAAAGTTTTAAATACTATTTCTGTAGCTTGCTCAGACTTTCTAAGGGTGTGATGAAAGCCCATTACTGAAGGGCAAAACTGGGACCCATCCTTGAGGATGGGGCAGAGCTCAGCAGCAACATATACATGGGATTTAAATTGCTAGGCAGGCTGAAAAAAAAAAACAGATGGAAGTTCAGCTAGCATTGCTCTGTCTGTAGGAACACACATAAACCAGCTGTCAGACAGGACTACAGAACAATTATTATAATCCACCTTAAGTATTTCCCGCTCTTTGAAAGTATTTCCAGGATCCTCAAGTACAAGTTGATGGCTACGGTGAAGAATGCAGCGATCTGAAACTTTCAACATTCCCTTCATGAAAACATTCCAGAGAACTCGTTCTGGAAATCATCACGACAGGCACTACAGGGAGGAGAACCTCTTATGTACAAACTGAAGGAAGGAGAAACCAAAGAAGCAGACTGGAAACTTGTGCCTGAAAGGCAAAAGGAAATTCAACACTCTTAGAAGTATCGGGTTATTGGATACTCGACGAAGGCGCTATCAACTGTCTCTAGAGAAAACAGAATCAGAATCATTTGAATGGGAAGGGACCCTTTAAATTCATCTAGTCCAACTCCCCTGCAATAAACAAAGCCATCTACAATTAGATTGGGTTGCTCACAGCCACATCCAGCCTGACCTTGAAATGTCTCCAGGGATGGGGCATCTGCCACCTCTCTGGGCAGCCTGTTCCAGTGCCTCACCACCCTTATTGTAAAAAAGACAAAAAAGAAAGCTACAGAAGAGGTGTTAGATGGAGCTTCTTAGTTAGAAAGTTGCTCATTTCACGAGGTTCAGAACCACCTCATGATTTAAACAATTTAAACAAGCAGACAAAAACCTATGCAAGGGACGTGACGCTGCCTTTCATTTCCGTAGTTAAGGGATGTACCTGCATGACTGGACAAGAACTGCAGGGCTCCACTCAGTTCTATAGGTTTTTTTGGGGTGAAAATTCAAAAAATCCAAGGGTACTTCTGAGATCTTACAGTCCTGTAGTACAAGCACGGGATGCTAAAAAAAAATCTAAAACCTGGCAGCTGGGGATACAGATGGCAGTGATGGAGGGATTGATGACAAGGAGAACGTGACCATATTTTGTAAAGAAAGAAAGAACAGTATCTGCAAGCAGTTGGAAGCGAGCTGTCACAAGCTGGCTAACCTTGGGAAAGGGATGCAAATCTGGTACGCACCTGAACCAGTTCTCTGAAAGCACTGAAGTAATGTCAGTGGCAGAGTATAAAAATAAAAATGCTGTTAGCTCCTAATAGGACTCCTGTAATTAGCAGGAAGTGAAAATTATCAGTGACGAGAGACTATGCAAGTAGTATTACTGACCTCAGTGGATGAGCACAATAATTAGAACACTGTGCTAGCTAGCTATGTCCTGTTTAGAAGGAAAACATAGAAAGTTAAACACAGCACTCAGCTCTGCATTAACAACAACAGAGCTACAAGTGTACACGTAAAGCCCAGAAGTTACTTACAAGTTGTAGGAACTGAAGCCCAACTAAATATAAATCTAAGGACTAAGTGACGTCTTAAGGGTGACTCAGTGGGTACCCGACCAACGGGACGCATTCCCGTAGGCCCGCGGTAAGTACTTTCACTCGCTCTTTGCTGGGCGCTCCTTTCCCTGCCGTACTGCGGGGACAGCAGGGCCTGCAGGCGATGGGCGGAACGAAGCGCAAAAGCACGGGGTTGCCCAGCTGGAAGGGGCCGACAAGGAGCACCAGAGCCGGGCTCCCCACAGGAACGCTCCCAACTCAAACCTTACAGCGGTCTGTTTGTGTACAGTCTGACAGCGGGGACTCCGGCAGCCCGGAGCCGTGACCGCCCCTGCAGCCCGCGCAGCTCCGTGCCGACCGCCCACAGCTTTGGAGCCTTTCTTCCCAACCCCCGGCACTCGGCACCCGAGCCCTTCCCTCAGGGCCGCGCTGAAGCATCCCGCCCGGCCCGGCCTCAATCGGGCTTCCCGCGAGCCGAGCCGCCCACCGGACGGACCCCGACCCCAGACGGACCCCGGAGCCCTTCGCCCCCTACGTACCGCCCGGCCCGGGGCCTCCCCGCGCAAAGTCCCGGCACATCCCCAGCCTGCCCGGCTCCGCGCAGGCAGCGCGGCTCCGCCCGCCCCGCTTTGCCACAGGAAGCTCCGCCCCTTTTCCTCTCCATTGGCCAGCGGGGAAGCCTCTCTTACCGCGCTCCCGCTCTCATTGGGCCGGCGAGACGCCCGTCAAAACGAGGCCGCCCTCCTCCCTGCCGGCGGTTGGTGGAGGTTCGTCCTTCTGCCCGCCTGCCTCTCTTCTCCCCGTCGCCAATTCGCTCAGAGCGCCGTCAATCGCCCCGTCTCCGCCCACCCGCAAAGGAGCCCCACGCCCTCACGGGCGCGCGCTCGGTGGTTGCGGCTCGGGCGCGCGCCGGCTCCTCCTCCTCGTTTCCCTCTCCGCTCCCCCCGCCCTCAGCTGTTGCCTCGCGCGCCGCCGCTCCTCGCAGTCTCGCGCTCCCCTCGCTGCCCGTTGTTTGCGGCGCGCGGAGCGGTAAGGTCGGGGCGCGCGGGGGGAGCGGGCGCCAACTTCACCTCAGGGCTCGGGGAGGGGGGGGCGGGGGGCCGCGGCGGGTCTGGCAGGGCGGCGGGGTGCGGCAGCCTCGGCCCCTCCGATCGGAGCCTCGCGGGGGAGCGAGGCCCTCGGCCTCCGCGGCGCGGAGACCCCCGGCGCGGGGCGGCCGCGGCCTCGGGGCAGGGCGGGAGCGGCGCGGTGCGGCGCGGGGTCTGCGGGCGGCCGCAGCGTCGGGCCCTTCCCCGCCCGGAGCCGCGCGGGGCCGGTGCCGGGTGCCCGGGCTCTCGGTGTTCCCCGCCCTTACAAACGCCGGATTTCAGCACCCCCATCCCCGAGCTCGCCTCGCTCCGCGCGCCTTGCACACCCGCCCCTTTGCCCTCCCTCGCCCCGTTTCTCCCCTTCCCGCGCCGACCCGCGGAGTGCCGGCCGCGTCCCGCCGCTCGAACCCTCGTGCCGCCCCCCTGCCGGCGCATCGGCGCGCGGAGCGTTGCTGGAAGCGGCCGCGCGGTGCCGGAGCTGTCCCGGCGCGGCTCAGGTGTCCTAAGCGCCCCGCGCCTTTCGCGGCGCTCCCGCATGTTGCCTGTCACCCGGCGAGCAGCGCCACTGCCCTGCCTCTCGTTCTGCCCGTGTCTTAATTAACCCGAGAAAGTAATTAATTGGAAAACTTGTTGAGAGTGCTTAAATTAACGCTCCGAGATGTTTTTTTTCTCTTCTTTTTTTTTTCTTTCTGATGAAGATTCCCCTTCCCGCATGTTTAACACTTCTGGCGCTCTGCTTCTCTGACAGGGATGATATGTGTCATCAGCACCTCGCCTGCTTCCATCTTCCTGTTGATGCTGGCGGTGTCCGTTGCAGCAGGGCCTCCCTTCAGGCATCCTGTAGCATCCCCCCCTGGATGCCCTCACCGTAGTGGTGGTTGCTAAGGGCTGAAATCCCATGTTGGGGTGTTTTTGTTTTGCTGGGTTGGAGGCTAAAAGCGTTCCTCGATCAAATCTCAGGGTTATAAATAGCCCTGTGTATTTGGCTATTTCTGTGGCTCTGACGGTTTTAGTGATCTTCTTTGATTTGCCTCTTTCTTTGTGACTCCCTGGAAAGGATAATCCTGATAAGGGATAATTCCTGAGGAGCCTTACTCCTGTCCTGGTGAGGTGTTTACAGACTGATGGACTTACGCACATCACACTTCTGTCAGTTCTTTTTCCTTCTTTCTTTCTTTCTTTTTTTTTTTTTTTTTTCCCCCAGAGATCTCCCTTACAGTATTTGTAAACAGTTCTGAAAGCAAAGATTGAGAGCAGTATTCAGAACTCAGCCATTTAAGCTCTTGATCCCCTTTTAAAGTGGAGTATTGGTGCAGCTGAATTTTCAGTTGCTATGTTTTAGTGTCAATGTATGTTTGTATTCTGGATGTAAATATTATAGAGGCTAAAACACTCTGAGTCATCTGAAAAAGAATTTGGAAACCTGGTTTGTTTAATTCAGTGTTTGCAGAAGGGTTTTTTCCTCTTGCATTATGTGGAATGTGCCGTACAAATAAATTGCCAGCGTGTCTGAGCCCCATGGAACGTTTGGAGCATTCCAGCGGTGCTGGCCTTCTCCCAGAGCAGACTCAGCTCGCCTCGCCCTGAAAGTTTGTCCCGGTGGCACCCAGTGCTGCACAGTGCTGCCTCTGGGAGAGCTGGGAGGGCTGTGAGCTGTGGAGTGGGGTGTGAGCTATCGGGCTGGCGGTGCTGCAATAGAAAGGACACGTGGCTGCATTTGGGTTTCCACTGGGCTTTGCTTCAGCTCCTCAGGCTGAGCTGTGTGGTTTCTCTTTGAGTTGGCAGGGGTCACTGAGAAGCAGGGGATGTGATTTCATTCCCAGTTCTCTAAAGCTGTGTATATTGCTCCCCTTACTTTGTCTAAATACTGTGTCTTACTCTTTGTTTATAGTAGAACTTGGGAAGGAAACAGTAATTTCATTTATTATCCTTTTCTCAGGACTCTTGTGAGTGAGAATTCCAAAACAGTCTCTGTTTCTGTGAGAATGCTGGAACAGTTTTTCTGGGTCTGTGCGGAAGATCTTAACATGATTGATGCGCTACAGATTCATGACCTAACAGTTTCTGTGAACTTTGTGCTGGGCTTTCCAAGAGCACAAGACCTGTGCAATTGCTTGACCAGCTTTTTAAATGGTCTGATAGTGGTGGAACAAAGGGGAATGGTTTTAAACTGAAAGGAGAGATTTAGGTTGGATGTTAGGAGGAAATTCTTTACTCAGAGGGTGGTGAGGCCCTGGCACAGCTGCCCATAGAGCTGTGGGTGCCCCATCCCTGCAGGCGCTCAGGGCCAGGTTGGATGGGGCCCTGGGCAGCTGAGCTGCTGGGGGGCAGCCAGCCCATGGCAGGGGGTGGGGATGGGTGGGCATTAAGGTCCCTTCCAACCCAGACCTTTCTGTTATACTTAAATCTTTGTCAGTCTTCTCCCATTTGAGTGACTTCTTCAGTCAGTCAGATGACACAGCCAGGTCTCACGATGATGAAAGATGTTACCTGCATGGTGACAAATTTTTGTGAAATTTTTGGCAGGTGGTGGCCCACAGCGATATTCCCAGCAGAAGGGCAGCTAGAATAGAGCCCTGTATTGCTTCAGGAGAGCAGCAGCTGGCAGTGCTGTGTGTTGAGCTGTGAGCCATGGTGGTGCGCTGCTTGCTCAGCCCAGTTGTTTGTGCAGCTGGTAGTGCAGGTGAGATGGGGCTGGTAGGACACCGGATGGAAAAATGGCAACAGGCTTAAATTAATTCTGCCCACAGGGCAGCATAGGCCTGTGTTGTTTTTTTCTTTTTCTTTTTCTGTCTTTCTTCCTTTCTTTTCTTTCTTTCTTTCTTTCTTTTTTTTTTTTTAAATATTGTTTTCTGTTTTGTGAAGAAAACAAAATAAAACTTTTGGGCTGCTGTTCAATGACAGCTGACCACTGCTTACTCTAAGATATGGAGCAGCATGATAAAGAAGAGGCTTTGAATGCTTTAAATGTTGTGTTTTCTTGTTTGAGTTTCCAGCGCTGCTGTTCCTAAAGGTCTGACTGATTACAAAGCTTGACTACTTAAAGAAGTCAAGCTCAGATGTTTGAAAGAAATACAAAGAGGTTAATAAATAGCCTATGGAGGAATCCTAATTCCAGTCCCTGATTGTAATTAGGGTTATAATGCATTGCAGTGTAATTTTTGGGAATACTTTCTATGTAATCATAGAATAACATAAGTTGAAAGGGATATCTGGAAGTCACTTAGCTCATCTGAGCTTGGAAGCAGGGCCAGCTTCCAAGTCAGAGCACACATTTGTACATATGTACAGATACCCATTGTGTTATCAGTAAATTTGGAAATGTATATATGATTTTTTTTAATTTTCAGTTGAAGGGGGATATGAAGAGTTTATAGAACTGTTCTCTTTTTTTCTTAATTTGTGTAAAAAGGGGATTTTTTCAAACTCACTTTTAGTGGGGCTACTGCTTAAATGAAACATGTGGTGTTCAGTTGTGACTATTCTTGTGTCATTTGAGGTGGGCTTGATAGGTGGATTCCAGAAGGTCTGGGTGATGCACTTGCTGGACTGACTCCAAGCATTGCATTGACTTCTGTTTGCAAATAAATTTGTGGTTCTCGCTCTTAAATACTAAAATTGCAAGGTGGGAGAAGAAATTAAAACCACTTAGCATCGACTATGAAGTCATGCACACCTTGTGTTCAGAAATTGGCCAAGACCAACTGCTTTTTGGGGCTAGATGGTTAGCCGATGCCAGCCTTAAGACAGCTGAGCAGTGCTCTGAGTTCAGCTGCCTTAAGGGACAGTGTGTTCTCTGCATGCCATGTTGTACTCATGTACTCTTTCCTTGGCATTTGCTGCTGGGCACTGTGGGCTCAGCTACATAAAGAGTTTATATGGCTGGATGGATGGATCTTGGTGATCTGTCTGGATGTTGTCTGACATTCTGGGCTGTGAGGCTTTAGATTCCTTCAGCTGTGTGTCTATATTTGTTCTTAGTGTTATTATGTGTTTGAATAGCTGTTTTCTTCTGGAATCTGAGTGAAGTCCTTGGCTTCAGTGACTTCCTGTGGCACTGGGTTTGTCAGTTGCATTGTGTTGCAATATAACATTTCTCTGTTCAGAGTTTGGCTTTGCTTTAAGCTCAGAGAGAAGTTCCCTTTATTACTAGCTGCTATTTTCTTTACCATGCTTTCCGTGTATTTCTTAAAATCTCACTTAATTTATAATTACTTCTCTGTTCATTCTTGCTGATCTCAACAGGAGAGATTTTGAATTGTTTAATAATTCACAGCCCTTCTCAGGGCGCCTTCCTTCTTTTCCC